CGGGACCCCCTCCCACCCGCTGTCCCCCGGCGCCCCGCCGCCGGCCGCGCTGGCCCACGCGTGGTCACACACCCGTCCACTGCGTGTGATACACAGTTGCACTCGTGGGGGCCAGAAGTAGCGTCACACTCTCAAACGGAGTCGCACACTCCCACACTGTCACACACACGGTATCACACAGCGTCACAAACACCCACATCCACAAACTCCCAGTGTCACCCCCTCGTATCGGGTCACGTGGAGTCAAACAGTCAAACTGTCGCACGCAGTCACACACTCACACGTTGTCCCACACTGGAACAGGGTCAGTGTCACACACACTGTGACACACTCAAATAGTGTAACCACCACTCACGCGGTGTCACACAACCACACACGTGTCACACACTGCCATGGGTCAGAGTCATATACTGACATATCACACACAGCCTCGCAATCACATTGTCAAACCCTCTTACACACTCACACTTGTCACACCAGTCACACACGGAGTCACACACCCATACACCCATACATCACACTGTCACAGGGGTCACAAATAGCACCACAACAACAGTAACACCCACAGCCACACACTCAAACGGGGTCACACTGTCACAGTTCTTACATAACATACACGGTGTCATGCACTGTCACAGTCTACACACGCTCCCACATAGCACATCTCACACATGTCACACACACCGTATCACACAGCCTCACGGTGATGCCTAGAGCACTACAGCCTGATACACAGCGTCACCCCCAGTGGCACCATAAGGTCACGCAAGAACGACATCAGTGCCTGCCACACGTGGTGTCATATGCACAGCGTTAGTGTTACAGGTTGGCACGTGGTGTCAACCACAATCGTGCTGTTCCCGGGGTCACGGGATCACACACACAGGTACGTAGATACGCAATCGCACAGTGTCACACACGCTCCCACATTGTCCTCCCTCACTTTCCCCCCTTGCAGTTGCGAGGAGGCCTGGGGCGTCCTGTGAGTCCCAGGACTGCCTCGAGGCACTGGAAGTGGGAGCCTGAGTTAGGAGCGATCGGCAGGCGTGGTCCGCGCTCGCCCCGCCCCGCCCTGGGTGGCCAGAGAGAGGAGGGGAGGCACAAGGCGAATGGCTCTCCTAGTCCGGGTCGCCCGCCGCCGTCCTCGATGGAGGCGTGGCCGTATCTGGCCCCGCCTCCCAATCTCAGTGGCAAGCCGAGAGGGCAGTACCCGGCGGCAAGCGAATAAGGGCTGAGTCCTGCCCCGCCCACCCTCTTTTCCTATTAGGAGGAGTGGCCTGTTTAGACACTCCCCTCCTGCTGAACATTGGGAGGAGGGACGAGGCGAGGCTGAGGCGGGGCCCGCTGCACCCGGCCTCGCCCCCAGCTTGGGTTAAGGAAGGGCAGAGAGCACCGCCCCCGCACCCAGTCGATTCCCGCGCGTCCTGCGACTCCGCGGCTCGCAGCCCTAAGACCCCGCAGCATGGTCATCAAGAAGATCGCGATCTTCGGCGCCACTGGCAAGACTGGGCTCACCACCCTGGCGCAGGCGGTGCAAGCAGGTATGACCCAGGGCGGATGGGGATGTCACGGGGTGCAGCGGCAGAGCATGAGGAAGCAGCGTCGTGAGGCCCTGCCGAGGCTGGTTGGAGTTATCAGTACCTCGGTTGTGTGAGGTGGCCACGAGGGCAGAAATGCAGAAGGCCACGACGCTCAATTTTGTGTGAGTCCAAGGCATAGGAATTGTCCATGGGAGCCTGGGGGACTCCAGGTGACAGTTATGTGTAAATCCAGTGCTTTTATGAAATGTTGCTGCTGCTGCTGTTACTGTTATTATTACCATACCCAGAGAGGGCTCACTAAGCTAGGTATCCATTTGCCACCCAGCACCGCCCTCTCTTGACAAATATCAAATCCTCACAGCACTCATATGGGTTGTTGTTGTTAGGTGCCGTTCAGTGGGTTCTTTCTCATGGTGACTTCATGTGTTAGAGAGTAGAACTGCCCCATAGGGTTTTCTTGGCTGTAGTCTTTATGGAAGCAGATTGCCAGGTCTTTCTTTCGCATTGCTGCTGGGTGAGTTCTCACAGCCAGCCTTTCGGTTGAGCTCTTAACCTGTGCGCCACCAGGGCTT